AAACTTACCAACTTACCAAGTCAGATTTCTTCACATTGGTGATAGGAACCAGAGATTGCAATGTCCACAACATAAATATATCCATTTTATTTACTATCCCAAACCACCAGAGAACCTACATGTGTCTTTTGAGTTTTTATATGAAATGTTGGTAATAATAAAACAGTCATAAATCTGAAAAATATGTTTTCTTTGGGAACTAGTTTGCCTAGTCTGCATGTACCTCTCCACCACGAATGGATTTTAAAGTATATCTTTTAGGCCAAAATCTTATCTAAAATGATTATACATCAATGTCTCAGACATCATGCAGTAACTGGTTTGTTTAGTAGCTTTCTGTAAGGGAGCTTTCAGAGATATTAAACTATTCAGACGTCTGGTTCCTATCACCACCACTGTGAACAGCTCTGACTAAGTTTTTCTAGAACAAAGCATTTCACACCAAACCACTCTGAATGTCTTTGTTTACATCTTAACCATTTAATTATGCAGAAATTCTGAAAAAATGGGTGGAACAAGATCTCCACTCCTGGTCCCATGGCCAGTGCAGTGTAAGAGGACATGATGAGAGCTTTGTTCTACTTTCTCTCTCTTGCTGCCTATCCTTCTCTCTCTCACAGCAGGCAGGCCTACCCACGAGACTCATATCACCTGTACTGTTGTGGATCGCAGGTACACAACAAACTCTCACCTTTGTAATTAGACCTCACCATTTAAGACTGTCTACATTCCAAACATGACATAATGTCCATATGTGAAACTGTACATGTACTTTGGTCTATATGTTCTCTGAACTTACCTGAGCACAATTTGTCAAATTGATCCAACCACATGGCTAAAACATGACTTTTATTATGGTTTAATACTGATTTAAACAAAACTGCACACTTAAAAAGGATGGTTATTCATTGGTTCTTTTATTATATGTAATTTTTATGGTTTTATTTACAATCAATTTTACATTTTCTATGCACACTTAAAAATTATGGTTCTTCAAGGGTTCTTTAGTGAAGAAAGTGGTTCCATGTAGAACCATGAACACCCAAGGATTCTTTTGCATGATTAAAGGGTTCTTCGCATTGTGAAAGGGTTCTTCAGATTAATGGAGCATGTTCTGTAGATGGTTCTATATAGAATATTTTTGAAAAGGGTTCTATATAGCACCAAAAAGGGTTCTTCTATTGTAACAAGCCTTACATCACAACAATAGGAAAACCCTTTTTGGTGCTATATTGAACCCTTTTCAGAAAGGTGCTATATAGAACCATCTACAGCACATTCTCCATCAATCTGAAGAACCTTTCACAACGCAGAGAACTCTTTAATCATGAACCCTTGAATCAAGCCTTACATCGTAACAATAGAAAAACTCTTTTTGGTGCTGTATAGAACCCTTTCCAAAAAGAAGAACATTTCACCATATAAAGAACTGTTTAATCATGCAAAGAGTTCTTTGAGTGTTCATGGTTCTATATAGAACCATTTTATTTACTAAAGAACCCTTGAAGAACCATCCTTTTTTAAGTGTATATAGAAAATATAAAGTTGGTTGTGAATAAAAGCATAAAAATTACATATAATCCGAAACTTAAAGTGGGTATTGTTAGATGTTCGTCCAAAGTATGTTCATACCAAATTTGATCACTTTAGACCAATCAGAACAAGTTCTGTGGCATTTTTCCTCGTCATACAATATTTAGTAGTTGGACATCAGTGGGTTAGCTCAATAATAAATATGCAGATTGTTATCATGAAACTATTTATGTTATCATAGTTGGCAAACTGGATCTGTCTGACTAAAAAGAGGACTAAAAATTTTAGCAGCTGTTTAGACAGGAAAATAGTCAATGATCTGGGAGAAGCAATGTAGTGCTATTAAACAGCACCCTCTGCTGGAAACTCATTAAAAATCATCTACTGCATAAAAGACTTTTGAACAGTCTGATCACCGTCTAATGGTCACTCGTAATGTAAAGACCACATCAAAGCAACACTGAAAACATCCTACAAACCTCACAGTCCGGACAGAAATAAGAAATGTAACACAACATAGCTTATTGCAGCTGTATTGTGCATATAAATAAAGCCTTTATTACAAACAGCTTTAAAACTCCCTGAAAGCTACTGGCCTCATAACTGTCCTAAAAACGATTTCTAACAGACAAGAATGTGTAAAAGAGGTTTTTTTTCGGATTATGTTACACATCTTTACGTATTAACGTCACACGCACAGGCTCAAAAAAAAAGTCCAGCTCGATGTTTTGGTCTCAAATGCAAAATCAACATCATACTGATGAAGATATGAGGACAGTAGTAGATAATTCACTCACATCTTCGGAAGACACGTCCTTCTCCAAGTTCACAGAGTTCTCTCTCTTTCAGTGCTCTCCACACATTACGTGCACTGACAGATTTCCTGCGTGTGAGACATCTCCTAATCCCCAAAACTTACATAGGGTAGCTTTAAGCTTTTTCCCTAATTATGCACTAGTATAGTTTATGGAGCTGCATAAACTATTTCATATTTTGTTATTATGTGTTAGAAATTTGGGTCGATCACACTTGATGTAATGCCTCTTTTAATTTACATGATTCAGATCAATACAAAGAATTTGAAATTTCAAACAATGAGTGCGTACACATACATACAATAATAAGATCATAATCAGATTTCTGCAGTTATCCAATTATTCACATTGTCATGTAAACACCATACTCCGATCTAGAAATCCGATTAAGAAATCCGACAAAGAGGCTGGATTTTAGCTCAGTAATCAGATTTCTCAGTGCATGTAAACTCTTATTGTGATTTCTTTCGGATTTCTCAGTCTGCGCATGTGCGAGAACAGATGGTGGATGTCGCAAGATGGCAGCACTCACTCACTAAATCAATCACTCACTCACCCAATCACTCACTCACTCACTCACCCAATCACTCACTCACTCACCCAATCACTCACTCACCCAATCACTCACTCACTCACTCACTCACTCACTCACTAAATCAATCACTCACTCACCCAATCACTCACTCACTCACTCACCCAATCACTCACTCACTCACCCAATCACTCACTCACTCACTAAATCAATCACTCACTCACCCAATCACTCACTCACTCACTCACCCAATCACTCACTCACTCACCCAATCACTCACTCACTCACTCACCCAATCACTCACTCACTCACCCAATCACTCACTCACTCACTCACCCAATCACTCACTCACTCACCCAATCACTCACTCGCTCACTAAATCAATCACTCACTCACCCAATCACTCACTCACTCACTCACCCAATCACTCACTCACTCACCCAATCACTCACTCGCTCACTAAATCAATCACTCACTCACCCAATCACTCACTCACTCACTAAATCAACCAATAACTCACTCACTCACCCACTCACTTACTAAATCACTCATTCACCCACTCACTCAATCACTCACTCAATTACTCACTCACCCACCCAATTACTCACTTACTAAATCACTCACTCACCCACTCACTCAATCACTCACTCACCCACCCAATTACTCACTTACTAAATCACTCACTCACTCACCCACTCACTCAATCACTGAATCACCCACCCAATCACTCACTTACTAAATCACTCACTAAATCATTCACTCACCCACTCACTCACTCACTCACTCAATCACTCACTCACTCACTTACTAAATCAATCAATAACTCACTCACTCACCCAATCACTCACTTACTAAATCAGTCACTCACTCACCCACTCACTCACCCACTCACTCACTCACTCACCCACTCACTCAATCACTCACTCACTCACTCAATAACTCACTCACTCACTTAATCATTCACTCACTCAATCACTCACTCATTCACCCAATCACACACTCACTCACTAAATCACTCAACACTTGCTCACTTAATCACTCACTCAATCATTCACTCACTCACCCAATCACACCCTCACTCACTAAATCAATCACTCACTAAATCACTCAATCACTCACTCACCCATTCACTCAATCACTCACCCACTCACTATTACTCACTCACTCACCAAATCACTCAATCACCCAACCAAATACTCACTCACTCACCAAATCACTCAATCACTCACTCACCCAATCACTCAATCACTCACTCACTCACCCAATCACTCAATCACTCACTCACTCACAAAGGGGTGGAGAACTGTAGCCTGCTAAATTTTTGCTGGAACTGGCAACCTTGCACTCAAACAGCTTTTGGTGTCTCATAACAGTGACACTTTATGTTCTTGTCTTTTAGTGCATTGAGATGACGATTATGGAGATTTATTATTTTTATAATGATTTGTATATTTTTATTGTTATGATTTTACATGATGCATTATTATTATTATTATTATTATTATTATTATTATTATTATTATTATTATTATTTCTGATGTTGTTTTTGTTGTTGTTGTGGTGATTATTTATTTACAGTTTCTCAAAATAATCTCAAGACAAAGCCAGAAAAAGAAAACAAAATCCTCCATGTGTTCACTTTTCTCTCTTTCTTATCTCTCTTTTTCTCCTTCTCACTTGCTGTCTCTCTACCCTTCTCTCCTGCTCTCTCCCTCTCTCTCTCTTTCTCTGTCTTTTCTTTTCTTCCCTCCTTTCAACCTTTCCTTCCTGCTTCCTCTCTCTTTCTCTGTCTTTTCTATGTCTTTCTTTTCTTTTCTTCTCTCTCTCTCTCTCTCTCTGAGTCTGCTCACCCCTCTTCCTCCCTCTCCTCCTCCTCCTCGTCTTTCTCTGCCTCGTGTCCCCCATGTGTGCTGGGTGGGCTGTACCAATGCTCCGTACAGCGGAGGGGGGGTGAGGAGAGAAATCAGCAGCTCATTAACTTCAGCACCTAGACAGCGACCATCGCGCGACTGACAATGCAAACGGAGCGCGCGGACAAACGACGCTCGCGCCAGAGATGCTTTGAAAAGCGATGCGCTTCGTCTCGCGCTGGAGCTCAGCGTAGCCGGCTGAGGTGAAGAACAAAGCGCGATAGCCTGAATCAGCTAACAGCAAAAAAAAGCATAGCAGGGCTCCGTACAGTCGCGAGGAGGGAGGGAGGGATCACACACCCTCGCGGTGAACAGGGGGGCAAAACAAGCGCGGTTTCCTTTGTTTACATTGGAATAAAAGTGAAGATGGGACGCTTTCCAGGACTGGAGGTGATTTGGATGCTACTGCTTTGGATGCTCAACGTCTACACGACCAGCATAGCAGCTCGAGCAGCATCCCGTGAGTACCAGTGGGTTACAATGCATTACAGCAAGGCTAGACCCCATAGCTTGTGCAGTAAGGGGGGTGGGGGGGCATTGCAGGATGCTATCCTGAGGATAATACACCTCAAAGACGTGAACCGAGGAGGTTTCGTGACTTGAATTATGTCCATATTTACTGCTGTTGCACTGCACGTTGCAACAGTATCAAAGTCTGTATGCTGACTCTGTTGGACTGAATGGAATGGCTGGCATAGCTGAATGAAGTTTATTGTTTTGGGAGGATCTCCTTTGTGGCATGTTTGGTCTTCAGGTTTGAGGAGAATGTTGTGGTTGGTTGTGTAACAAAGCTCTGGTGTCTTTGTGCTGATATGAGGCTGATAACAGCCATGTGGAGCTTGAAGTTCCTGAAGCTTCAGTAGTGCAGACATTAGACACTCTTAGGAATAAAGGTGCTGTAGAAGAAGCATGTTTGGCTCATTAAGGAACCTTTTAATGCAAGGTTCTTGTAAAAAACTTTGTTAATCCTTATAATGAGAGAACGTAGAACCTTTTTTAAAGTTTTAAGAACTGCACTGCACTTAATGTAAATGTAACGTCTTTAATGTAAAGTTAAGAACCGTTTAGGAGCCTTAAAAGAAGGCGCTAAAAAGGGTTCTTTGGTGCAGTTGCTTCAAAGAACCTAAAGAACCTTTTAAAGCCTGAACCATTTTTGTTAATGAAATGCAAGGGCGAAGAACCCTCTTAAAGTTTAAAGAAACTGCACTGCACTTGATGTAAATGTAACGTCTTAAATGTAAAGTCAAGAACCAAGGTGCTAATAAGGGTTCTTTGGTGCCATTCCTTCAAAGAACATAAAGAATCTTTTAATGCACGAACCATTTTTTGTTAATAAAATGCAGGTGCAAAGAACCTTTTTAAAGTTTAAGAACCTGCACTGGAGTCAATGTAAATGTAGCATCTTAAATGTAAATTCAAGAGCCATTTAGGAACCTTAAATGAAGGTGCTAAAAAGCATTCTTTGGTGCAATTGCAACAAAGAACCTAAAGAACCTTTTAAAGCCTGAACCATTTTTGTTAATAAAATGCAGGTGCAAAGAACCTTTTTAAAGTTTAAAGAACCGGCACTGCACTTAATGTAAACGTAACATCTTAAATGTAAAGTCAAGAACCATTTAGGAACCTTAAATGAAGGCCCTAAAAAGGGTTCTTTGGTGCAACTGCTTCAAAGAACCTGAAGAATCTTTCGATGCCTGAACCATTTTTGTTAATGATGTGCAGATGTGAAGAACCTTTTTAAAGTTTGAGAACCTGCACTGCACTTAATGTGTATGTGACATCTCAAATGTAAAGTCAAGAACCGTTTAGGAACCGTCATTTTTTAGAATGTATTAGAGTACACTTAAAACTGACAAGGCAAGGAACCTTAATTTTAAGAATGTTTTACAGCAAGTTTTAAAATGATGGTGCCAAAAAAGTTCTTTGGAGCAATATACCATAGAAGAACTACTTCAGGTTCCCTAAGAAACCTTTCAATGTGTGGTTCTTGAGCCGTTTTTGTTCATGAAATGCAAGTGTGAACAACCTTTTTAAAGTTTAAAGAAGCTCCAGATAATGTAAAGAATGCACATGAAGGTTTGTCCAATGGCCATACATCCAAGTCTAGAACCATTTGGGAACGTTCATGTTTGATTAAGCCTTCTTTTAATAATGCATTAGAGCACATTCTTAAAAACAAAGGTGCCAAAAATGTCACTTTTATGTTGGTGTTGGATCCCATTTTTGGTGTTGGTTCCCATTTTTGTGTTGGTGTTGGTTCCCATTTTTGGTGTTGGTTCCCATTTTTATGTTGGTGTTGGATCCCATTTTTGGTGTTGGATCCCATTTTTGGTGTTGGTTCCCATTTTTGTGCTGGTGTTGGATCCCATTTTTGGTGTTGGTTCCCATTTTTGTGTTGGTGTTGGTTCCCATTTTTGGTGTTGGTTCCCATTTTTATGTTGGTGTTGGATCCAATTTTTGGTGTTGGTTCCCATTTTCTTCTTGGTGTTGGTTTCCATTTTTGGTGTTGGTTCCCATTTTTGTATTGTTGTTGGTTCCCATTTTTGGTGTTGGTTCACATTTTTGTGTTGATGTTGGTTCCCATTTTTGGTGTTGGTTTCCATTTTTATGTTGGTGTTGGATCCCATTTTTGGTGTGGTTCCCATTTTTGTGTTGGTTCCTATTTTTGGTGTTGGTTCCTCTTTTTTGTGTTGTTGTTGGTTCCCATTTTTGGTGTTGGTGTTTTTGGCTACCTATAAAACCTTTAAATAGAATTGTTAAGAGAAATGTCTGTCAAATCCGAGAAACATTAAGAATCATCCCCTGCAAGGTTCTTTAAGGAGCCAGAAGTCTTTCTTTTTTGGCATCGCTCCAAAGAATCCTTTTTTTAGCACCTCTATTTTTAAAAGTGTCCACTTCTGGTTGTAAGTGAAAGCCATGTTCGTCTAGCCAAGTCTTCAGGTCTGAGGCACCTTCATTAGTACCTCGATGGCTACACCTTGTAAAGAAAGGAGCACATGGGTCAATATATGGGCCAAAGTAGTGGGTCATAAATAATGATGTAACGTGCAGCCACTGGAGCCACATGCCGGCTCCAGCCACGCTCGAGGAGGCATTAATAAATCATAGTCATGAGGGACGTGTAGACGCACACGAAAGGGAAGCGGGTGCTCATGGTTCTCTAGTCACTTCAAGCCTTGTCTCTGAAAACCTGACAATGACTGTAATTTGGTGGGAAGCTGTTGGCTAACTAGCTGGAGTCCCTCTTTAAAATTCAGGGGACCACTTAGAACAGAATAAAGCAGATCAATGCCATTGATAATTTTCCTATTGATTTTGAATGGGCAGCTGCAACCTGAATGCCGATTTCTCTTTGTCCATAATGCCACTATCACTCTGCAGTTTGTTGTAAATAACTCTAGATTACGTTTATTCTCAGCTCTCGCGCATAAAGGTATATGTTAGTGAAAAAGGATTCTTTGAGCACGGCCATAGAAGAACCACTTTTGGTTCCTGAAAGAACCATTTTAGAAACCATTTAGGAAACTTTAAGTTAATGAACTTTTTCCCCAAAGAACCATGTTTGGTAAAAAGATTTGTAAGTGTGAAGAACTTTTTACAGGTTCAAAGAATCTCCACATAACGTAAAGGTTCTATACCAATTTAAGAGTTGTTCCTAGAACCTCTACATTATGTAGAGGTTCTTTAAAAATTTTACAAAAGTGACTCTCCAAAGAACAATCAATTGAAAGGTGCTTTAGGGAAGCAAAAATGTTTTTTTTTTTTATGATATTGTGAAAAGAAACTTCTATTTTAATGAACCTTTAGATTAAGGAACTTTTCCCTAAATAATGACGTCTGGTAAAGAGATTTGTGAGTGTCAAGAACCTTTTAAAGGTTATAAGAATTTTCTCATAGTGTGAAGGTTCTATACAAATTCAAGGGTTGTTCCTAGAACCTTTACATAATGTAGAGGTTCTATAAACCTGAGAAAGGTTCTTCACATTCACACATCTCATTTACAAAAATGCTCTTCCAAAGAACAATCCATTGAAAGGTGTTTTAGGGAACCAAAATGGTTCTTTTATGATATTTTAAAGAGAACCCCCTGTAGCACCTCTTTTAAGGAACATTTAGGTTAAGGAACCATTTCCTTAAATAATGACATCTGATAAAGAGATCTGTGAGTGTGAAGAACCTTTTAAAGGTGATAAGAACTTCCTCATAATGTGAAGGTTCTATACAAATTTAAGGGTTATTCCTAGAACCTTTACATTATGCAGAGGTTCTTTAAACTTGAGAACCATCCACTGAAAGGTGTTTTAGGGAACCAAAAGTAGTTCTTCTATGATACTGTGAAGTTACTCAAGCTACTCAACAATCTGATGGAAAATATCCGTTTACATGCTCACTACAAGTAATCCAATCCAAAATTATGCGCATGCGTAGAGAACCACTTAGTGTAGACGTTACCATGACAACAAGCCTAGCGTGAGTCCAGTCAGAGTGAGACGAGCAGCAGTGAGCAGTACTTGTGTTTTTAGTTACTTTAAAATGATATCAGACTCAGGAAAAAGTACTTCACATGTCCTTATTAAAGAAGAGGAAGACGTCGTGTTCTGAGACACATAAACTGGACGTCCGTCCCACCACCGTCATTTAAAGTTCAAGCATAAACTTCATCTCCTCTGCAGACCAGTTTCTGCTCCGCCATGTTGAACGTTATAAACTTTAGCTATGACACGATGCACATGCTTAAACTTTCCAGCTGGGAATGTAATCAGAAACAGGCATTTACGTGGTCATTATTCTTCTGTTTAACAGATTATTTACAGGATTACCCGCCTCGTTCAATCTGATAGAAACTGTATTCCGAATGGACTCAATTGGACTAGTCTATTCCGACTGAGGTGTATGCATGGACGTATTCTATTCCGAATTAGCTATTAGTCAGATTATTAACGGACTATTAGGCTGCATGTAAACGTGGCTATTATGTGTAAATTTTATGATGAATGGATCAAAAGAAATGGCCGAAAAAAGTGTGGTTACGTTGACTTACATTAAAAGCAAAGTATGATTTTCCTTCTCCTGTAAAGTTATTATTTTGGAGATATGAGGTTTTGCTCCGACAGCAGCAATATTTAAAATTTAACTAAACGATGTAAACTGAATCATGCTCTGTCCTGTCTGGGCTCATTGGTTTTATTTAGCTATTACTTTATTTGTCTTGTGATATTAGAGCAATAAGCCATGAAACTCTGCGTTACTGTGGTTTAGTGTGATGCAGAGCAGGGTCACATCCCTGTAACAGCCTCAAGTGGCTCACTGCTTTTACAAAACAGAGAAACCTTGGCGCCTTAATACATAATACAGTTTATGGGTGCAGTTAAATGTGTATATTGAGTATTGCATAATCACTTCAAACGTGTCTCAGGCTAGTTTTAAAACCAGAACTACCCAGTTCTAAAATTACTGCTT